TGGGAGACATAGTAAAAATGTACTACAAATGAAAGGCGATAGGCTACACCATAGTACAGGTGACGTGCAAAACAGATAATTAACAGAACAACGACCAAAGAAGAGTAAAAATGAGGCCCTGCCTTGACATCTGGAATTCTGATGTGACAGCTGCAGGAAGTTTGATCTTTCCAGAACTGAAATATTCTCAATCAAAGGAACTATCCAAGAATTCTGATAAAAGGCTCAGTACATATCTTACCCATCAGGTATATACTGATTAAAAAAACGGAAAAAACTTTAATGCATTATGTTTTAAGAGGTGTACATGACTATTAGCAACTCAAAATAATTTTTAAGAAGCAGAAAATTTAATAATCAGACCCTAGATATACTTGTTTATTCAATAGTTTCACATACTCATCCAAGTCCTGGGCATAGTGGAGTCAGCAAGACAGACAAAAGCCCAAATTCTTGTGAAGCTTTCATTCTATTGGGGCAAAAAAATAATAACAAACTAACACAATTTCGGACACTGTAAAGAAAATACAATGATAAATCCATAAGGGAACTAAAGTAAGCTAACGGGATTGAGGACAAGAAGCCTTCTCTGAGCAGTAAACGTATGAGTGGAGATCTGACTGATAACCCATGTGAAGCTCTGGGCCAGTTGTTCCAGTTTTAGTAAAGAGCTTGCGTTGGTCCAGACACCAAAATGCGCTTCATGGGTTGAGCAACAGCAAGCATCCCGCTGCAGCTGAAGCAGAGAGCTCAAGGGAGAACACAGAAGAAGACAAGATCGGAGATGTGCAAGGAAGGGGTCAGACCATGGAAGGCTATGGTTAGAGTCTAGATTTTATTCTGTGGTAATGAGAATATATTAATGAAGTTTCTAATCACAGCACTGATTCATGCTTTAGAAAACTCACTCCAGCTATAGTGGATGCAGAGAGACCCATTACGAAGCTACTGCTGTCAGGAAAGAAAGATGATGAAAAGCAAGTACTAAGGCTTAGGGCAGGGAAGCTGGTAAGAAATGGTTGGCTTGAGGATTTGAAAGTATGGTAGACCTGAACCACTGATAGGTTGGTTTTGAAATGTGAGAAAAAGAAAGGAATCCTAAATTTTTGCTTAACTAAAACCTAGCAATCAAACCTACAGGGTTCAGATCATTTTAAGTATTCACTGATCATGCTGAAGGTTTTCATTTTATCTGAAAAGCAGGAGGAAGCAGTGGAGTAGAGTAACGACAACACAAAAAAGAGACAGGATTCCAGATAAATTTTGTTGATTTAGCACACCAGGCTCAGCAAGCTAAAACAGTAAGACCCCTCAATGTTGCCTTTAGACGGAGCCACAGTTGATTTCTTCTAAAAAGGGAGTCAAAAGCAAGCCCATCAATCATAGATTAGAATCGCCTCAGAAATGCAACAAATCCAGATTAAAGTTTATTCTTGAGACACCCTGGTGCAAACATATCCCTCTTCCTTATTCCCCTACCTCTAAATCTACTAGGAAACTTCTGGGACAAATTACCTTGGCAACCCCGTGATCACCTAAACTCACTGCTACATCCCTGTCATCCTTGGTTCTGCCAACCGTAACTCTCCTTTGGCCATCTAGCCTTTCCCAAACTCTCAGCCTCAATCTGCTGTCACTTCTTGTTATGACCCAACTTTCCATTCTGCCCCACAGAATCCCCTTTACATGATTAACCAACACTCCTACATCTTTATCCTCTTCAATGAATACTCCCTTTATCACCCACCTTCAATTTACATGTAGCTCTCTCAAAATAATACCACATACAGTGCAGTCCTTTAAAAAGGAAGTCTCTCATTCACCAAATTCTCTATTTCATTCAGAAATAGAGACGTGTGTGGATGCTAAAACTGAATATGGTAAAGAAGATAATGCCAATGAAACTGATAAAATAACTCTAAATTCATAAGAAAGAATAAAGGATGAAAACAACCTACCTAAATGGTAAACACTAGACGATTAGCTCAAAAAACTAAAATGTATCCATAGAAGGATACCATGAAGTTCTTTATAAATTCATGTTGTGGAAGAATACTTAGCACCTTCTGGGGATATTCATATAACTCAATTTTTAAAAAAGATTATTAAGCAATATATAATGTATAAGGCTGATTTCATTAAAGAGAAAGAAGAATGTGGGGTGTGCGTGCTAAGAAAAAAATGTTATAAATAAAATATACCAAAATGTTCTCTCTAGGTGGCAGAATAATGAGCAATTTTTTTCTTTTTTGTACTTTCCCTATTTCCCCCAATTTCTAAATGAATATATTTATATACCTAGGAACAAAGGTCAAAATAAATAAGTTTTTAAAAATTCATCATCTTAACACACTGAAACTGCTCCTCAATGAAATTTACACAGGCTTGTTTAAACTTTTCCTATCCTTGTTTCTTAAAAAACAAAAAAAAACAAACAAAACCATCTCCAAGTCCTTCAGTTGACTGCCCAGAACTTCAGACTTATAAACAAAAAACAAAAACCCCTCAAGATCTCTTCTAAGCATATCAGTCACTTAACATAATAATTCAACAAAGAGTTTAATGAGTTTTTCCAATTAATTATTCTCTTAAAAATGCCTAAATGACTAGCCAAAGCAAATGGCTATATGCTGGGGTCCCTTAGCTGTAAAACCAGAAATATGTTGTTGTTTTACACAGCTCTGCAAAAACCCATGCATTCTTTATACAGAAGAGGGTATTAGTCATTTACATATTTAAAATATTCAGTAAAAGGGATTTTCACTTTGATAATTTCTTTTAAAGATTATACATATACCTATACTCAATTTTGGCTAATGCACAAAAACAGTAAAATAAAAAATACTGGAAAGTCATCTTTGGTAATTAAATTCCCAAAGAGGAAAAAAATTAAGAACAGAAACTTCACCCTCAAGGTAAGTAATGGTACTACAACTATATCTGGCATAAAAATAATGACACATCATCCAGAATAATCTCTAATAACTCTAAATTAGGGCTTCCCTTTCAAAAGATTCTCTTTTTGTCAGTGCTCAATCTTTTAAATTTAACTTTGCAAATATTACTTCCACCGTAATTCCATCAAAAGAACTGCTTAGAAGAGAACCTGCATGGGCAGAAACACATTGTAGAATATATTTCATTGCATTATATAACACAAATGTGTAAATATCATTAGCGTATATTTTCCACAAACATTTTCCACTAGAATGTTTTTCTTATAAATCATACCTGAAAAGTTGTATATCATTTCCAAGAGAGCATATTCTTGAAAAAAACAATTAATGAGCTCAGTATTACGACCAAGAATTTAATACTTTCCTACTAAGCAAAATACAGGCTAGATGCTTTACAAGTGAAGTTTAACAGTTTCCCTCCAGGAAATCTTTGGGGTCTATGAGTTATTCTGCCAAATTTCTTTCCCAAACTAACAACAGGCAATATAATCTCCCATGAAATTCATTTCTAATTAGAATATAGCTTCTTGTTGTTAATAACATATCCAAACTTTGTCTTTTAAAAAAAGTGAAAAGTGGATCTAAGCAGCGCTGCAGTAAATGAACAACTGAACGATCTGACACAGGGACAAGGCAGGTGCTGAGGGCTGAAGAGAAGCAAAGGTCAGGGGGAGGACACAGGCGGAGACCGCCTTGGCCAGCTTTTATAACACCCCTCGCTTGCTGTGAGTGCCATTTCTCCTTTGGTCGGAGACCACTTCAAGGCTGCAACTGCTGCCCAGGGCTTTGTTAAATGGAAAAACTGAAAAGCTGTGGAACCTAAACAGCAGACCTGAGGCTAGAGACTTTCATTTCATTATTTAAAACTTCATAATTACATTTAAATTTTTTCTTATCTACTCTGGTTTAAAATAGCTTCATCCCTCTAGTGTATGTTATCTTGATTCAGCAACTGAATCACCTAACCTTTTATTAATTTAGATAAATCAGATAACTCAGATTTAGCAGAGATTATATGAATTTTAACACTGAGGGAAGTTGTCTTTCTATGCAGAGTAATTAAGCAAAAGTCCAAATATTTTTAAACCTTTCTGTATATAGATATTTTTCATTCATGTCAGGGACTTTGTTAATAATGGACTCTAAATTTAAAAGTGAATACAAGATTTATTTTTCTCAAGCTTGGACAAATTTAAAAGGAAGCTAAAAGTCATTTACTTTCATGCAACCTAAAACAATACTGTTAGCACTGCAGTGACTAAGAGGCTCCAAATTACAAAGGTCAGTTAAGTAAAAGGCAAAGGCAGCAGAACTCAGACGCTAAGAATAAAAACAAAAATAGACCCAACACAGCATTTTGCGAATGAAGATCAATGAAAATGGTTGCTCAATATCACATCACTCACAGCATTATTTCCTATGTTATTATTGAGAGCCTCTCTATTCCAGCATTTCTTCTTTGCTGTTCTTGACATCTGCCTTAATAAAACCAATACTTGAGCCCAAATTTTTATTATCTGAAGTAAAAAGGCAATGCATGGCCTCAGTTAAAAAGTACTTACTTAGTTATCATGGGGAGAAGATAATGATAAAAATATAAATAGAGTGGCAAGGGAGGAGCAGCACCACATTTTATTTAACTACTGACCTCAGCAATGAGGCAGCAGGTTGTTTTTCTGATCAAAACTACTTTTATAAAGTAACACAAATGCCCTTGCTTGCTCCATAGTGAAGGTCTCCACAAGAATTAACTGAGAAGATGAAGTACAGGAAATGAGGATCTAAACCATAAAAAAAGAAAGTCTAAAATATGAATAATTATGTTTTCATTTCATGCTGTAATTCTCAGAAATTCTAAGCAGAATAAGCAATCCTATTGCTTCTGCTGTGACAGCATAGCAATTAAGGTTAACAGTTAATATAACAAATAAATAATAAAGTAGAGGTAATGGCATATATATTTCTTGCACTTTTATGTTTAGGAAAACAAAATAAAATTCAGAGCATAACGGTTTTATACAAGCAAGCTGATAGATCTAATAGCTAGTAGATAGGATAATTGGGCAGCTCTGTCTCCTTACCTGTAAGGACGGCTTTGGCTGAAGGATCTGCCAGGTCCAGGGCTGACTTCCCATCGGTGTTCCGAATGTTTGGATCAGCTCCGTGCTGCAGCAGCACTGTGCAGGGAAAGCAGAAACAGTATCTTACCTCGGGGATACAAAGATTATTTACTGGTAAGTGTCGCCTCGGCATGGTGTAGGCATAAACATACATTGCACAATTTTTTTTTCTCTTTCAAGAAAAAAAAGCAAAGGAAGAAAAAGCAAGAAAGGAGGAAAAAAAGCACTGCAGCAAAGGCTCCTCTCTAGAGTACAGCGAAGTTGGCAACTTGTGGTACAGTATTCTCACGTGACTGAACATCATAAACATGAAACTAGAGAAATCTTGCCACAGACAGTTTGGGTTTGCCTCCTTCGGGCGGCAGGATGGGGAGCTGTGTGCTCGCTGCCTCGCACTGGGAAATCCGCTCGCAGTGAGCTGCCCTGTCTTTCCTACACTGTGGCTGCTTGTTGCTGCTGCTGCTTCACTGCTGAACTTCCCACCGCTTCCTTGCCTCAGAACGGCTGTAATACTGGGTAAGCCTTTTAGTGCTCACCACTTACATACGTGAAAACTCACCAGAACACACTGGCTGGCTTCCAGGAAGTTTACCAGACACAGCAATGCATGCAACTCAGGTTCCCTGCAGCCAAGCTGCAGGAAACAACTGCCTTCCACAATAATTCTGGCAGTCAAAAATTTTTAGAATCAGAAATTCGATCACTATAATATATGCTGAGGAATGAATGTTACACATGCTATTATGGGTAAAAAGTAACTACAGAGAATTTTGAGAAGTGTAGGCTTCCAAAAGAAAGAATCACTGTTTAATTATTAATTCAAAAGATTTCAAATACATCTGGTATGTGTGTGTATAGGGATGTTCAATCACAAGGTATTCTAACAGTTCAAACTTAACACAAGATTCTGTGTACTCCTGGAGAGAACAGGAGTTACTACCATTTACCAACATTTTATAGGATAAATTTAAAACAAAGTAGAAATATTCAATTCAGATAAATGGTTAAAGACATTATATAATGACTGTTGTGTGTCCCAGATTTTCATTCATTAATAGTCTCATGCTAAAGTACATACAATCTTTTGGAATACTGGGAACGCAATCCTTATATATTACTAAGTAATAAATCCTGCTGTTTATAAGGCTTTTCCATTCGCTTTAAAGCACAAGCCACTTAGTCAACGGCTTTACTGTAAGGTACAAAGGAACAGCCTTATCTAGATTTGGGAGGCAGCTGCTAGGACAACAGACACCAGCATCTCTTGCACTAAACCTTGGGTACTTTCAGATCTGGGGTAATAACAACTAGCCATGCTTTGAAAAGATGCAGTGAGATTTTGTCAAGACTGTCTATAATATCTCATTCTTGATTGTAAGCAATGAACATAATTCATTTCCATATGTTTATAAAGTGACAAGAGCTAAGTAGCACAAAATAGCAAGTACCATAATATCAAACATCATAATATCAAACTGCAATTATTCTTTCATCATATAATGAATAAGCTTTCACTGCAATTATGTAATTTTTTATTCCAAGAAATCCCAACATGAAGATTTGGCTTGTAATCGGTCTATATCATGAAGTAGGCTCATGTAACAAATGTAAAGATGACAGTTATTGCTCTGTCTTTAGTTGTTGAGTGATCACATGCAAAGGGTAGGAAAAGAGAAATAACAGCTACCATGAAAAGCTCAGTTTTTTTTTTATTGCATACTTTGAGAACTTAAGAACCTGCTTTACACAAGAAGTAAAGAAATATGTTAGTTTAACAAGCCTTGACGATAGTATGATGGGAGCTTTGACTCTGCAGTTTAATGAGTGGCAGAGGCAGAACACTGAAAGCCTTACTGATCCTCCAAAAGTCACCTAAAGCCTCAACCTTAGCTGTTGTATCTTTGCTATCTGCAACAGAAATCTGCCCTTACAGTTTAGCTGCAGTTTTGTTTTGTTTTAGCTCACTTTTAAAGGATTAATCTTTTCACTAGAAATATCTGTTTTCTTAACATTTTTGAGTCAGATGCATTTCATTCACTGGACTTGCACACACAGAAATATCACTGCAGAGTTATGTAGCAACAGGGGAGAAGCTGGATTTTCCAAGCCACATGCTGATAATAAAATTCAAATATCAAACCATTTAAATTGACCAGATATGGGTAAAAAACTCACAATATTGAGTAGAGTTAAAAGCTTTAGGAACAATAAAGGTATCTATAACTGGTATAGAAAAGATCTAAACTTACCTAAGGTTTTAGAAAAGGACAGCACCGAGGAGATTAAATGAGAACAGAAAATGGCAGCAAAAGTACTAAGCACAGAGACTGATAATACATATCAGCTAATAATAATATTTAAAGCACATTTTAAAATGTATTTGTACTCTCAACTCTAGCACTAACTACTAATTCTATGCTTTGTTCTAGAGCCAAACCTTCAGATTTTAACTTTTTCTGTAAAGGCCCAGAGAGAAAATATATTATGCTTTATAGATCATATGGTCTCTGTCCCAACTACTCAGCCTTGCCTCAACTCCATCATTATACAGGAAAAGCAGTCGCAGACAATACTTATAGGATGTGTGTGGCTCTATTCCAATAAAACTTCATTAAAATTTGAATTTTATATAATTTTCATGTAAAAGGAAATTTACTATTATGGTGAATTTTAAGAAAGCACTTAAAAACAATTCTTAGCTTAAACGTGTCATAGCTCAGCCATGTCCGACTCTTTGTGACCCCATGGACTGTAGCCGACCAGTCTCTTCCGTTCATGGGATTTTCCAGGTAAGAGTACTGGAGTGGGTTGCCATTTCCTTCTCCAGGGGATCTTTCCGACCCAGGGATCGAACCTGGGTCTCCCACATTGCAGGCAGACGCTTTACCCTCTAAGCCACCAGGGAAGCCCCTGGTGTCTTAGCTTAAAGAACATATCAAAAAAAAGGATGATCATGGCCCGTAGTCATAGTTTGCCAACTTTGACCTTGGGCAGTAACAGATAAAGTGTGGGCAGGGACAGACCAAGTGCGGTCTATGGACTGTTCTAGTCCCAGAATTCTCCGTAATCGACATTGAGATAACCACAAAAAGTAAGAAGCATTTATAACTGTGTATGTCATGTAAAAGTTACTTTTTCCAGTACTTGGTCTTTATTGTAGTTTAAAAAATTATTGGCCTGCCATTCATTGAGGAAGGAAAAAAACTGGTCCCCAACCACAGCTTGAGGAGCACAACTTAGACAACTACCAGGTCTACAAAGTGAAGGAGCTGGATTGTGCGGTCCTTAGTCACTCAGTCGTGTCCAACTTTTTCTGACCCCATGGACCCCATGCGACCCCACCATGGCTCCTGTGCCCATGGGATTCCCAGGCAAGAATACTGGAGTGGGTTGCCATGCCCTCGTCCAGGGGATCTTCCCAACCCAGGGATCGAACCCAGGTCTTCCGCATTGCAGATGGCTTCTTTACCATCTGAGCCACCAGGGAAGCCCTAGAGAGATGACTTCTAGGTATGGAGAATGGTCTTAGGGACTCCCTGTGGCTCAGACAGTAAAGAATCCACCTGCAATGCAGAACACTCAGGTTCGATCCCTAGGTTAGGGAAGATTCCCAGGAGAAGGGAATAGCTACCTACGCCAGTATTCTTGCCTGGAGAATTCCATGGACAGAGGAGCCTGGGGGATTACAGTCTATGGGGCTGCATGAGTTGGACACTAACGAGGGACTAACATTTTCTTTGTTCAGAATGGTATCAAATCCCTGATGATGTTTTCTACACTACAGTCTAAGCATTAATATCTAAAATCTTAAAAAAGAATTGTCTCAAATAGACCTTTTTCCTCTCTTGCTTTAAGTCAAAGAAAAAAGGAAGATTTATTTATCCTAACACTGTCTAACAAAAACAAAACTAAAAGTTGAGACTATAGATCAATGAAAGTTGTAGGGTACAAAGAAAAAAGTCAACTTCTCGAGCAGTTGCTCAAGTCAAATTTCTGTTTCACATTATTCTCCATGAAGACTTGTGTGGCACTATTTTCTAATACCAGAAGAACAGCACATACACAGGGCAAAGATAACAACCATGCCTTTCAAGAATGTCAGTCTGTACTTGAAGTGGTGACAAGTAGGACTCTCAATGCTAAAGGCTTCAAAATTTGCTTTCAAAGTTCTGTGCTACCAAAAGGAATAATGAAATATGACTACAGATAAATAATACAATAAGAAATTCATTTTGTAATAGATTCTTCTTCAAAAGTAGCACATATGTCTGAAGAAAGTCCCCCAAATACACAATCAATACACAAAATAAGGTTTGAAGGAAAACCAGGAAACTAAGATCTGAATGATATTCAGTATGCAAATCTGAGACTCCTGGAGATATTCAAAATCTCTTTACAATATCTTTAACCAATTAGGGCATTATCAAAACTCAAATCCCAAATGACTAGGCTGTACATCTCAAATTCATTTATCTCCTTTGGAAATTAGAGAAGTGGAGAAAATATAGCAGCTAGCATACATAATAACAGGGAGTTAAAACTAAGGTAAGATCCCAGTATTCAAAATGACATTCTCAAAAGAGCTATGGCAGAAAGGACATGTGATTTTCCTATTTCTGGGGCAAATGTTCAACTATAGTAAACCAGATTCAGAGAGCATGCCTTCAGCCGGTGACCAATGAAGCAAAGATAGAAATGGACTCATTTAATTCCTCAAAACTTTAATTCTTCCAAACAAAAAGAAATATTTTTACATATATGCAAAAAAGTCTCATCAAATTCCTAGAAAAAATATGAAATGCTATAATGGTAAATTATATTTAAGTACAGGCATTAATAAATGATTTAAGAAGACAGAAGAAATAGAAGCAATATGAATTTTCCAAGCTAAAAATGCAGCAAGGCTTTTAGGTAAATTATGAAAAACCATTTGTATAGTNTCAAAGAGGGGTCTCACCACAGATTAGAAACACCTAAAGAGAAATTTACTGACCTCAAAAATATGTCAATAGATACTTCTAAGAATGCTACAAAGAGAAATACTCATGGAGAAAAAA